AAATTGTACTTTAGCTATATTTGTGGTTACATCAGTTCAATTCTGCCCTTTATTTTATCTCTGAAAATTGTTTCTCATTTAATTGAATAATTTGTCTGTTACTGAACAAAATTAAGTAGAGTTCTGAAATTATAAAGCAAATCTAACTGTGATCTGACAGTTGTACTTTGTGTGTTTGATTACAAACTACCGTTGTGAAGATTTTAGGATCAGACCAAATTTTTCTTTGTAATGTCTGGCCTTGTTTTGTTGAGTTTGATATTATAGAGGACATCATGGGAAGACCTTTGGGTTTATGAATGAGGTATTGTTTGTGTGTTAGTGCGACAGAGAGACTGGGTTTATGGACAAGATAATGCTTGTACTCCACACTGGTGCGGTGGAGAGGTTGGTTTCATTACATGGGGTAACACTTATGTGTCTTACACTAGTGCAATGGAGAGAGGGCGAAGGAAGAAGCACTGGCACATTTTGAAAAGCTCTTTGAAATCCTGGAAGACAGGAAGTCATCTGTTCTGAAAGCCATAGACACCTCTAAGAAGCTAAGACTAGACAAGTTCCACACGCAAGTGGAAGAGTACCAAGGCCTTCTAGAGAACAATGGGCTTGTGGGATACGCCCAGGAAGTATTGAAGGAGACTGATCAGTCTTGCTTTGTGCAGACAGCGAAGCAGCTCCATCACAGGTACTGGCTTTGCTCCTTAGCTTTTGAAAGCTGTCTGGGCCTGCTGTACCCTAGGTGCTGAATGCAGTGTCGGTTTCTTCGGTCTGACACATTGTGGGTGTTTAGAGTGACTTGTCTTCGTAAAGAATGGCTTTCACATGAAATGTGTCTGTCCTCAGAATCCAGAAAGCTACAGAATCTCTGAAGAGCTTTAGACCTGCGGCGCAGGCTTCTTTTGAAGACTATGTCGTTAACACATCCAAGCAGACAGAGGTGCTTGGAGAACTGTCCTTTTTCTCTAATGGTAAGTGATGAAGGCCATGCCTCCTCTCTGGCCTGTGTGCATGCTGCAGAAGTGCATTCCCCTCTCCCTTGACATAAGTTGTTCATGATCATCTATCTTGGAACCTTTAGACTGGCTTTTATGTTTGCACCTATACCCTGGCTTTTAAAATGTTGTATACATGGCATCACTTTATTTTTAATTATAAGCTTATGCTACTTTTTAGTATGTGAAATCTGGCTTAAGGAATATTCTGCATTTCCAGCTATATTGAATTAGGGCCCACTGTGAGGTTCTCAGCTTTGATATCCATCCCTTCTGAAGACTGTCTCCAAATACAGTCAACCTTCTGAGGACTGCTGTCACAATCAGGGTTAGGACTTCAACATACAAATTTTCAGGAAATGCCCTTGAAACACAGGGAGTACTTCTTCTTAAGTCTCACCACATTCGCTGTGCTGAAGTTTCTCTTCTTATGAAGTTGAAGCAGCACAGGCTACCTGCTGGAGAGATGCTCACTGGTTAAGAGCAGCGGCTGTTCTCACTGGTCACACCAGTTTGATTCCCAACACCCACAACCGCCAGTCGTGCCAACTCTAGGAGATCTGATGCCTTCTGGCCTCTGAGGGCATCTGCACATGTACCTGGCCCCCAAACCTATGATTTTTAAAACCTATAAAAAAATAAGATCTTTTTTGAAAAAAGGAAATTTGTCTTCCAAAAAGCTAAAAACTATATGGGTTTCTGTGGCATCTTTTCTTTTTAAACTTAGATCTGAATCTGTTATTTACTATGACTTCTTCCAAATAGGTGTTAGGTATCATTTCAAATGCTAATTTTACATCCTAGGCTGTTGGTTCTGTGTACATCAGTTGCATTTTAGATATATGTTAGCTTACTTTTGAGTCTTAAACTTTTACCCATGGATCCAAACATTGCTGCTGGAAGGGTAAGGCTGACTATGGGTAGTCATAGGTTATATTCAGTCCACAGCAAAGGACCAAGACAACAGAGGAAGCCCCCATTTCCTGCCTGTGGATGTATTTCATTTTCCCCAATGCCCATTCTTATAGTAACCATGTGAAGACACTCTGTGATTCAGCCCTGTTGAACTTTTTAACTTTAAAGTATACTTTGGATGTGTTTTCAGATCTTATCATGGCTGTATAATCTTCAGGTGTGTTAATGCACCCTTAGACTTCCTTATGTGCCTCTTGGCAGGCTGTAGGATAAGTGAAAAGCAGCAGGGGCACTTCCCTTATTTCATTTCCTCCTCTGTGGTTTGATGTAAATGGGGTGTGTGGGGGTGTGAATGCTTGCGTGTATATAATTTATACAAACTGAACAAAAAACTAGTATGTAGCAGAGGATGACCTTGAGCTCACTCTACTGGCCGCACTGTGATTATAGGATGTGCAGTTGGTCATGTCCAGCATACATAGACTATTAGACTTTACTGTATATCAAGCTTACAAGTTTAGTGTAGAGAAAAGGTTGTGTGTGTGCACAAAGATTTAGCTGTGACCTTGGTCTGATTTTGTTGAGAAACTGTAGCCTCGTTTAATCTGCAGCTCATAGATCCCAGGCTGGCCTTGTATTTATAGTCATCCTCCTGCTTCAGGAGGTTACAACTGTGAGCTACTGTGACTGGCTCGAAACATTGTACCTCTAGCAAAATGTTAGAAACCTAATTCTCTCAAATAAATAAATCTTGATTGATCCATAACAGTGAAATATTACAGAATAAAATGGCAGGAAATGAAACCAGGGCAGTGATTACCTTGGAATTGCCTAAATTTTTGTGGGGTTTCCCTACTTTGTTGCTTCTTTTCTTTTCCTTTTTGTTGGTTTTTTGAGACAGGATTTCTCTGTAGCTTTGGAGCCTGTCTTGGAACTCACTCTGTAGACCAGGCTGGCCTTGAACTCACAGAGACCTGCCTATTTCTGCCTCACCACAACCACCCAGTCGTTTCTGTTTTTCTTAGTTATTTTTCTTGTTTTGGTGTGTGTGTGTGTGTGTGTGTGTGTGTGTGTGTGTGTGTGTGTGTGTAGGCCAGAGGCCAAAGGTTAGTACTATGTGACTTCCTTGGTTATCTGTATTCTTTTGAGGCAGGGTCCCTCACCTGACCTGGAGCTCCCTGATTTGGCTAGACTAGCTGGCCAGTGAACTCCAGTGCCCGCCTCCCTAGAGCTTGCATTTATCCAGCTTTCCTGTGGGTGCTGGAGACACCCCATTAGCTGCTTTACACTTCATGTCTACCCTGTTTGGCTTTGCAAGTTTACCTTAGAAAATATCAAAGGAAATGCTCAATAGAATTTGATCCAAAGTCACAAAACTTAACCTTTTAAGTACTGAAAGTATTTATGTAAATATAGATAAAAATTTCAACTCCAGAGTCACAGCTCACTATGGGAAAAGTCTGTTTTTAGTACTTCCAGTGCTTTAGAATAGATGATACCACTTAACACTGTAATCATGGCTTAATTTTTTGTTTTTTTCCCATTTCAATTATAATTACAATTTTACCTTAATTTATATTTACCATCTTTTTATGCATAGTATTATAAATTTAGGAGTTTCTTGGATACTATAGAAAGGGTCAGTACTTCATTTTTGCTGAGGGAACTACTATCTTAACATCATGTTCTGTGTCTTGATTCTCTCAGGTGTAGACATTCCTGAGATCAATGAGGAGCAAAGTAAAGTATATAATAATGCCTTGATAAACTGGCACCAACCAGAAAAGGACAAAGCTGACAGCTATGTTCTTGAATACCGGAAGATTAATAGAGATGAAGAAATGATGTCCTGGAATGAGCTAGAAGTGCACGGCACAAGTAAAGTTGTCTCCAACCTTGAAAGCAACAGCCATTATGCTTTCCGAGTGAGAGCTTACAGAGGTTCGATCTGCAGCCCCTGCAGCAGAGAGCTGGTTCTGCATACTCCTCCAGCTCCAGGTACTGGGGATACTGGAATCAGAAAAGCAGAGTGGGAGAGGCTGGGAAGAGGAAACTGGGTGGTGTCTTCATGTAGACCTACATTGAAACCAGCTTTGTGCTTTTGAAAGAATCTAGACAAGTAGATTACATACTTGGCTGGGATTTAGAAGCAACCTGAATTCCCAAATATCACCTCAGAGGCTGTATTAGATTGAAACAAACAAACAAAAAGGCTTTTTAATGATTGGGGCTAAATTGTTATAAAAATGGCATGAATGCTATTTAAACAATTAAAATTTCATAACTGCATGTGCTTAGTGGAACATGCCTTTAATCCTAGTACTTAGGGGCAGGCAGCTCTCTGACTTTGAGGCCAGCCTGGTCTGCATAGTGAGTACTCTGCCAGCCAAGGACATAATCATAAAACTCTGTCTCAAAGCAAACAAAACAAAACAAAACAAAACAAAAAACCCAGAATATAAAACAACAGCATGATTCTGGGACTCTTTCATAGATCAGTTAATAACAGTGTCTAAAATACAGGATATTGATAGTTATTTTTAAAATTCATTGGTGTGCTTTAATCTAAGTCTCACTTGCCCAAGGTTTCTGTCCTTTGCCCATGAAGATGGGAGGCATATGTTGTGACCACATGGCAAGCTTTCCCTCCACACTGGTCCCTATTACACTGCCTCTCTTTCCAGGTTACACAGATATTATTTTTTGAGATGTTGAAGAGCTTTACTGGATAGAAGGACAGACAGGTTAGTTGGTGTCTCCTGCAGTGTCTTCGTAGATGAGAGGCAGTTAGAACTAAAGTTTTTTCAGACATTGTAGTGGGAAAACATTTTGTGTGGCCCACCACTGACTTGGATGTGCTCAGTTGTTTTCTAGACCACGGACTCTACCCATCTTAGTGTCTTATGTATCCATGTTTTCTGAATTCTGTCTTTCCTTTCTTCTCTTGTCCAATGTAAAGAAGCAGTGCGTGTGTGTGTGTGTGTGTGTGTGTGTGTGTGTGTGTGTGCATGCACTTTCAAGACATATTGTGACTTTTAAAAATATTAGAATATACATATACATGGTTGGCTGAGATTGTTTTTCTTGAGTTTTATTAAAAACAATAGATAAGTTGAATATTCAAGTATTCAGTAGACATTTAATGCTGAATGTTCTTTATAATTTCTTGTCTCTGAAAGTAGAAGAATGATTTTGGACAAGGCTTCTGTTTTTAGTAGCAGCTGTATTAAGAGGAGGAAAGGGCATGCTAAGTGTTTTATCTTCCTCTCCAAGAGAAACTATATAAATATTGGGGCTGTTTAGATTTACTGTACAAAGTAGGAGATATGGAAGATGGAAAAGAATAAAGAATAACTATGTGAGGACATTAGCCATCACCAAATAGATCTGCATCTATGTGGGGCCTGGTTTAGCCTGCTGGCAGCCATTCTTTTAATGTCATGTAATAGGATAAGATTTACCATTGTAAGCACACAGTTTAGTGGTAGAAAGTACATTCATAGTATCATGCAGCCATCTTCATTCATGTCTCTAGAAAAAAATTAAGTCCTACATGAAAATCTGTATCTATTAAGCACAGCTCTTCACCCTTCTTCCTATAGACACTGGTAGCCTCTATTCTTCCTTTTCTGAGGGTTTGACTATCTGGGTGCCTCAGAAGAGCAGAACTGTGCAGTAGTTGTCTTTTAGCATCTGGTTTATTTTGTGTTCGCATTGTTCAAGGTTTGCTAACATTCCACTGTACATCTACCACGTTTTCTCTATCCATTGCTTTGTTGATGGAGATTTTGTTGTGTCTGCATTGGGTAGCAATAAATGCTATGTATACAATAGTTGAGTTAGCACCATTCTGTAAATGAGGAAGCTTAGAGTTTAGATCCGTCTTCTGTTAAATGTTTGAGCAGGATGCAAACCTCTCTGAACTTAAAACCCACAATTCTCATATCTGCTGGGCTGATTGATAAGGGGGAAGATCTTATAAATTCTCAGTTATAAAATTTGGAATGTTTATAAATATATACCACCTGACCTCCATGGGAACCTATACTCATGTGTACCCCCCAGCATAATTGAACATAATAAAATGAATTTTTTTAAAGATGAGTGATTAAGTACATTTTATGTTCAGTAATTACCATTGCTGAGCCCAGGCATGAACTCATCAATGTTTGCAAGCATCTAGAACATTTGTTTCTGCTTTTGGATATTTCTGGAGAAATCAGGTATAGAGGATATATTGGAATTTATAGCTGCAGTGGAATTTTGATTGATGGAGCTATCTGGCACAGACCAGCAACTTCACATCTCTTCAGTAATGATTTCTATTTGAAAACCATCAACTCAGCCTTAAATGATAGAAATCCTGGTAGATGGTACTCAGGTTACTTAAGAGTATCTTTACCCTCCACTCAGTTTTCAGTTTCCTGTTTGATGAGAAGTGTGGCTATAATAACGAGCACCTCCTGCTGAACCTGAAGAGAGACCGGGTGGAGAGCAGAGCTGGGTTTAATGTTCTCCTGGCTGCGGAACGCATCCAAGTGGGCTACTACACAAGCTTAGACTACATCATCGGAGATGTGGGAATATCGAAAGGGAAACACTTCTGGGCATGCCGTGTGGAGCCATATTCATACCTGGTCAAAGTAGGGGTTGCCTCCAGCGACAAACTGCAAGAGTGGCTGCGGTCTCCCCGGGACACGGCTAGTCCAAGGTAGGTTATTTGCTTGTTAACAACTTTAAAAGTAAATTGAGTCCAAGATCTAACGCTAATGTACAAACTGACCTAGTGACGCCCATTGTATATGGAGAGATACCTTGCTTAGTCTGGCAGGGGTTGGGGGAGGTTTGGTCCTACCTCAATGAGATGATGGGACAGACTTAGTAAACTTCCTAGGGGAGGCCTTACCCTCTCCAAGGAGCAGATGGGAGGTGGGGGTGAGGAGGTGATGGGGGGAGCAGGAGGAAAGGAGGGAGGGGGAACTGGGATTGGAATGTAAAAAATAAATTAATAAAGTATCAGTGTCACACAAGATCACCCTGAAAACAGACTGGGACTCATTCATTATATTTGGAACACACATTCCTTAGATTCAGTGATTGGCTCTGCCATGTGGCTGCTTTAGAAAAGGACTCTGGGTGTATTGTATTTATTCACAGAATAATAATTAATTTTTGCTGCTATGAGAGAGTTTGTCTGTTTTGAATTCCTCTTCATTATGATTCAGCTTCAGAGCTTAAAGTTGGAAAGTTTTCCATAGTTCCTAAAGGGCGTGTTAAATCTACCCATACAGTGAAATGCCTTTAACTGCCTCTTTCATGGCACTAGAATTTTCCCTAACTTTTCACATTTCACAGAAGGAAAAACAATGTCATTATTCTTTCTTGATGTGGGAATCACAGTCAGGAAATAGGATTCTCAGGAGAAGAATGAGCCATGCTCTTATCTCATGTTAAGTGGCTAGTTATTTCCTTTAATCTATTAACCCCATGGGTGAGGGCATAGGTCTTTATATTTTATGACATACCACTGTGTACCATAAATATTAAATCTCAAATTAAGCCCTTTACCCTCCCCTGCTTTTTTTCAGTAGAAATGCATTTTAAGTTCTATTTATATATATAAATTTATGTAACAATGGATGGCACTATAGGGGATTTGGTACCAAGCACATAATTACAACTCTAAATGGCACTTTGAAGTCCGTGCTTTTTTATGTGTGTTAATAGATCAATTTTGGGTATGCTAACTTTAGAACAATATGTTATTTTTGGAGAATGTGTTGATGATACTGGGAGGCTGTGGCTGGAGATAAGTAAGGTCCTGTGTTTATTGTGTTGTAGATATGAGCAAGACAGTGGGCATGACAGTGGAAGCGAAGATGCCTGTTTCGATTCTTCACAACCTTTTACATTAGTTACTATAGGCATGAAGAAATTTTTTATACCCAAGTCACCTACTTCTTCTAATGAACCCGAAAATAGAGTTCTTCCCATGCCAACTAGTATAGGGATTTTCCTTGACTGTGATAAAGGCAAAGTGAGCTTCTATGATACTGATAACATGAAATGCCTGTATGAGCGCCAGGTGGACTGTTCGCATACAATGTATCCAGCATTTGCCTTAATGGGCAGTGGAGGAATTCAGCTTGAAGAACCCATCACAGCCAAGTATCTGGAATATGAAGAGGATGTGTAGCTTGTATACCACATGTGGCGAGGATGAAAACCGTGAAGGATGAAAACCGTGAACACAGCCATGCCTTGGTGTTAGTCTTCGTAACTAATTACATATCATTTATGTCTTCTGTCACCACACCTGTTTGTAGTGTTCGATTCTTTATCTTGTTTGGCTTTGACACACAGGGTCTTGCTATGAAGCCCAGGGTGGCCTCAAACTCTGTCCTTCTGTTATAGGCTCCAGAGTACTGGGATTATAGGTGGGCACCACCATACGCAGCTAGTGTATGAGTCTTTAACACTCAAAAGGCCTTCACAGACTTGTCCATTTCATGTCATTGTTCTGCCTTTCACAAATGGTGAGAGTGAAGGCATTTTTGTCACAACTAGTCCCAGGTAGCCAACTTTACAGCTGGTCCTTCTCTTTGGATACAAGGACTCTAATTTATTTAAGTCAGCTGATGTTGCTATTATTTACATTCCTTTCATTTTTGGGGGACAGGGTGGAATACAAAGTATTTATTGTGGTTCTTTGTGCTGATTTTTTTCATGTCCAAAGAGAAGATATTTTAAATGACTATTGATAGGAATTAGTCCTAAACCATGCATCTTGAACTTGTTGTTAATAGGAAAATAAAGTTACAGATAGGTAAAATGACAAAGGCCATAAAATGGTAGTATATTTAAGTAGAAAATTATGTATTTTAAAGTGTGTAACTACTGAGTGTATATTGCGTGGCAAATGAATACTGCTTTTTTTTGTAGACCACAGACTTTATTTATTGTTACGGACAGCTCTAAGAGTTGCCTGGGCTGTAAGGCTCCTTATTGGCATATGTAGCAAGCATGGTCTGTCATAGGAAACACAGGTTCTTGAACCTGTGCAACTTTTCACTGCAATATAATTTTTCCAGAAAATTTTATCTTCAAATTTTCTTACTTCAGAAAATACTTGCATTTATAGCAAAGAATTATTTTTCAGAAATATTAGTGAAGATGAACTGATAGTGAACAACTGTCTTGTGAGTTTTGTGGTTTTGGCACAGATGTTACACATCAGGTTTTTCTGGCTTACGTTTACAAATTTGAGAAGTTCATTGTCTGTCTTAATGGCATTAAAAGACCAGACATATTACATGTTACTATTGTCCAGTTGGGTCGAATTGTCTGTGGCTCAATGTAATCATAAACATTTTTAGAGCGAATCAGTAAAACACAAAATTATTTAGAAATAGTAACTAAAATCAAAAGGATTGTGTACAGTTAGTTTGAAGAATTACACCTTTTCTAAATTGGATGTTAGTTCCTGCAAAATTATCTTCTAGGCACCAAAATCATCTTTTAAATCGATGATTTTTATTTGAACAGCCTTTTTAAAAAGGTAAAATGTCCAGACACTAAGACTTACGCTTATGGAATGCTAACATTTTAGTGGAGTAACCAAAATTTTGGAAGCTCTTTATCTTACTTTTTTTTTTTATCGTTCTTAATGGAAGTCTGCTAGGCTAATCACACTGCATCAGACCCACCACTGACTCCCCCACCCCCATGTGGATAGGTCTGGAGAACTTGCATTTAGTGATTGTCATTCCTTTCCCATATATCTAGCACTTTATGACACAGGAAGCAAAGAGAATGTGCAGTGTTACCTGGATTATTGTGCAATAAAGCTGCTAAAGTCCCATGTGTGTTGTCGTGTGATACTCAATACTCATGTAAGCACATGCCCTGTAGACATTTGAAAATATAAAGCTTTAACAGGAGTCAGAAAAGGAAGCTGTTTCAAACACTGTATCATTGTATAGAAATTGCTCGGTGGAATTTCATATTTAATAAAAAAATAAAAGGAAGTCAAGTGTGGTTATTCATATCTGCACTCCAGGAATTTTTACTATGCTTCCTGATTTTACTATGCTTCCTGGAAAAGTGAAACAAAACACTTATTAAAAGATTCTTTGTGGCCCATGTGAGGTTTTTTTTTTAATTTTTAAAGATTTTTCTTTTTTTAATTATTTTTTACATTCCAATCTCAGTTCTCCTCCCTCCTCCCTTCACTTCCTCCCTCACCTCCCATCTCCTCCTCGGAGAGGGTAAGGCCTCCCCTAGGAAGCCTAATAAATCTGTCCCATCATATGAGGCAGGACCAAGGCCCTCCCTGCCCTTCCCTCAACCCCATGCCTAGGCTGAGCAAGGTATCTCTCCATATAGAATGGGCTCCACTAAGTCAGTTTGTATATTAGAGTTAGTCTTGGACCCACTGCCAGTGGCCTCATATATTGCCCCAGCCACACCATTGCCACCTATATTCAGGAAGTCTAGTTCAGTCTTATGCAGGTTCCCTAGTTGTCAGACTGGAAGTCAGTGATCTCTCACTAGTTTGGAGTCTGCTGGTTCTGTGGGTTTCCCCATCATGGTCTTGACTTCTTGATTCATATTGCTTCTCCCTCACTTTGATTGTACTCCAGGAGCTTGGCCCAATGATTAGTGTGGATTTCTGCATTTGCTTACATCTGTTTCTGGAAGAGCGTTCTAGCTACTCTGGGGTTGTGGATTGTAGGCTGGGTATCTTTTACTTTATGTCTGGTATCCACTTATGAGTGAATAATACTATATTTGTCTTTCTGAATCTGGATTACCTCACTTGGGATGTTTTTTTCTAGTTCTGTCCATTTGCCTGCAAATTTTAGGATGTCAGTACTTAATGCTGCGTAGTACCCCCATTGTGTAAATGTACCACATTTTCTTTATCCATTCTTCAGTTGAGGGACATTTAGATTGTTTCCAAGTTCTGGCTATTATGAATAATGTTGCTATGAACATAGCTGAGAAAAATGTCCCTGCGGTATAAGTGTGTCTCCTTTGGGTATATGCACTTAAGTGGTATTGCAGGGTCTTGAGGTAGGTTGATTCCTAATTTTCTGAGAAGCCATCATACTGTTTTCCAAAGTTGCTGCACAAGTTTGCACTCCCACTGGCAATGGAGGGGTGTTCCCCTTACTCCATATCCTCTCCAGCATAAGCTGTCACCAGTGTTAAAATGATCTTAGCCATTCTGATTGGTGTAAGATGATATCTCAGAGTTGTTTTGATGAACATTTCCTTGTGTCTTTCTGCCATTTGAGATTGTTCTGTTGAGAATTCTCTGTTTATATCTGTACCCCATTTTTAAATTGGATTATTTGGTAGTTTGATGTCTAGTTCTTGAGTTCTTCGTATATTTTGGAGATCAGTCCTCTGTCAGATATGGGGTTGGTGAATATCTTTTCCCATTCTATAGGAACATTTTGTCTTGTTGACCATGTCCTTTGCTTTACAGAAACTTCTCAGTTTCTGGAGGTCCATTTATTAATTGTTGCTCTCAGTGTCTGTGCTACTGGTGTTCTATTTAAGAACTAGCAGTCTCCTCTGCCTATGCGTTCAAGGGCACTTTCTACTTTCTTTACTATGATTTTCAGTGCGGATGGATTTTTTGAGGTCTTTGATCCATTTGGACTTGAGTTTTGTGCATGGCTATAGATTTGGATCTATTTGCATTCTTCTTCATGTTGACAGCCAGTTATGCCTGCACCATTTTTGAATATGCTTTCTTTTTTTCCATTTTATATTTTTAGTTTCTTTGTGAAAAATTAGGTGTTCATAGGGGTGTGGATTCATATCAGTGTCTTCAATTCGATTCCATTGTTCCACCTGTTTGTTTTTATGCCAATACCAACCTGTTTTCATTAGTATAGCTCTGTAGTAGAGCCTGAAATCAGGGATGGTGATTCTCCCAGATAATCCTTTATTGTACAGGGTTACATTGGCTATCATGGGCCTTTTGTTTTTCCATATGAAATTGAGTATTGTTCTTTCAAGGTCTGTGAAGAATTGTGCTGGGATTTTGATGGGGATTGCATTGAATCTGTAGATTGCTTTTGGCAAGATTGCCATTTTTTTTTTGGTTGGGAGACTATTGATAACTTTATTTCCTTAGGGTTATAGCTGTATTTAAGTTCTTTATTTGTTCTTGATTTAATTTTGGTATATGGTACTTATCCAGAAAATTGTGCGTCTCCTTAGTTTTCCAATTTTGTGGAGTATAGGTTTTTGAAGTATTACCTGATGATTCTCTGGATTTGCTCAGTGTCTGGTATGTCCCCCTTTTTGTTTCTGAGTTTGTTAATTTGGATATTTTCTCTCTATCTTTTGGTTAGTTTGGATAAAGGTTTGTCTATTTTGTTGATTTCCTTAAAGAACCAACTCTCTGTCTCATTGATTCTTTGTATTTTTGTTTGTTTCTATTTTATTGATTTCAGCCCTCAATTTGACTATTTCTTAACATCTAACCTTCTTGGTGAGTTTCCTTCTTTTTGTTCTAGTGCTTTCAATTGTTCTGTTAATTCATTAGTGGGATATTTCCAGCTTCTTTATGTAAGCATTTAAAGCTATGAACTCTCCTCTTAGCACTGCTTTCATTGTGTCCCATAAGTTTGGGTATGTTGTGAGGCTATTTCCATTAAATTTTATTTATTTCCTTGACCAAGTATTGATTCAGTTGATCATTGTTCAATTTCTATGTGTTTATATGCTTTCTGAAATTAATGTTGCTGTTGAGTTCTAACTTTAAGCCGTGGTGATCCCATAAGATACATGGGGTTATTCCATTGTTTTTTTTTTTTTTTTAATCTTTTGAAGTTGCTTTGTTACCAAGAATGTGGTCCATTTTTTGAGAAGATTTCATGAGGTGCTGAGAAGAAAGTATTTTCTTTTGTGTTTGGGTGGAATGTTCTATAGATGTCTGTTAAGTTCATTTGATGAGTCATAATATCTGTTAGTTCCCTTATTTCTCTGTCTGTTAAGCTTCTGTCTGGCAGATCTGTCCAGTGGTGAGAGGGGATGTTGGTCTTCCACTATTGTGTGTGGGGCTTAATTTGTGATTTGAACTTTAGTAATATTTCTTTTACAAATGCAGGAGCCCTTGTGTTTGGGGCATTGATGTTCAGAATTGAGATTTCCTCTTGATGGATTTTTCTGTGATGAATATGAAGTTGACCTTCTTTATCTTTTTTGATTCATTTTAGTTTGAAGTCTATTTCATTAGATATTAGGATAGCTATACCAACTTGTTTCATAAGTCCATTTGATTGGAAATTTTTTTCTCGACCCTTTACTCTAAGGTAATGTTGGTGAGTTTGAGGTGTGTTTCTTGTATGCAGCAGAAGGATGAATTCTGTTTTTTTGTATACAATCTGTTAGCCTGTGTCTTTTCATAGGTGAATTGAGAGCATTTATATTAATGACCAGTGATTGCTAATTCCTGTTATTTTTGTTTTTGTTGTTGGTGATGGCATTGTGTGTTCAGTTCCATTCTTTGGGATTTGCTGCTGTAAGCTCATCTATTTCCTGTGTTCTTGTGGACATAGGTGATTTCCTTGGGTTGGTGTTTTCCTTCTAGTACTTTCTATAGGTCGGGGTTTGTGGATATGTATTTTGTGGTTATGTATTTTTTAAATTTGGTTTTATCATGGAATATCTTGTTTTCTCCATCTATGGTGATTGAAATGTTTGCTGGGTATAGTAGTAGGTGCTGGCATCCGTGGTCCCTTAGTATTTACATAATATCTGACCAGGACTTTCTGGTTTTCATTGTGTCCTTTGAGAAGTCAGGTATAATTCTAGTAGTTCTGCCTTTATATGTTACCTGACCTTTCTCCTTTGCAGCTCTTAATATTCTTTCTTTATTCTGTATGTTGATTGTTTTGATTATTATGTGGCAAGGGGAGGGGACTTTTTGTTTTGTTTGGAACAAGTCTATTTGGTATTCTGTAAGCCTCTTGTATTTTCATGGGCATATCCTTCTTTAGGTTGGTGAAGTTTTCTTCTATGATTTTGTTTAATATATTTTCTGTGCCTTTGTGTTGGACTTCTTCTCTTTCTTCTATCCCTATTATTCTTAGGTTTGGTTTTTTCATGGTGTCCCAGATTTCATGCATTTTTTTGTTTTGTTTTTTGAGACAGGGTTTCTCTGTGTAGCTTTGGAGCCTATCCTGGCACTCGCTCTGGAGACCAGCCTGGCCTCGAACTCACAGAGATCCGCCTGCTTCTGCCTCCTGAGTTCTGGGATTAAAGGCATGCACCACCAACTCCCGGCTCCTGCATGTTTTGTGTTAAAAATTTGTTGGATTTAAAAGTTTCTTTGACCCATGAATCTATTTCCTCTATCGTATCTTCAATGCCTGAAATTCTCTCTTCCATCTCTTGTATTCTGTTTTTTATGTCTGCATTTGTGGTTCCTGATCATTTACCCAGATTTTCCATTTCCAGAATTCCCTTGGTTTGTGTTTTCACTATTGCCTCTATTTCAGATTTCATGCCTTGAATTGTTTCCTTCACTTGTTTGGTTGCTTTTTCTTTTTCTTGGTCTTCTTTAAGAGATTTGTTAATATTTTTCCCATTTTTTTGTTTGTCTTTTTCTCCATTTCTTTAAGAGAATTTTTCATTTCCCCTTTAAGGGCCTCAATCATCCTTATAAAGTTATTTTTAGGTTATTTTCTTCTACTTCATCTGTGTTGGGATGTTCAGGTCTTGCTGTTGTAGTACCACTAGAAAAGATTAATATAATGAAGTTAATTTATTTCAATTGTCTGCTTATGTTGTCTTATTTCTTTTCTCATCTGCAGTCTGCAGTAGATTAGATTACATTTTAATAAATTGTGTGGTCCTTTAATTCATGTGCATAATTTTGGGTTATGATGCTGTTTGGTGCAATCAATACTGGATCATAGCTTTTTTTTTTTTTTTTTTGCTAATGAGTCTTTTAAAAAATTAACAGAAGAATCAGTGTTGGACTTTTTTTGTCAGGACTGCTGGCTCCCCAGTAATGACTCAGAGACATACCGCTTGACTGATGGCTAGATTTGTTTCTAACTAGCTCCTATAACTTAATTTAACCCGTTTCTATTAATTTATGCACTGCCAAATGGCTCATGGCTTGTC